GGTCCGGGAGGATCCCACATGTGGCGGAGTGGCTGGGCCCGTGAGCCGTGGCCGCTGAGCCTGCGCGTCCGGAGCCTGTGCTCCGCGACGGGAGAGGCCACAGCAGTGAGAGGCCCGCGTAATGCAAAAAAAAAAAAGAAGGAATGGTTAAATCTTTCCTTTACATCTAAGTATCATGAATTTAACTACATCTGTTGATTTCAAAAGACTCCATAAACAAACTTCAGCTGTTAGAAATTTTATTTTGTCCCTTCTTCTCTTTGAATTTTTATCTTCAATCCACTTCCCCCACAAAATTTTATCCTATTTTCATACGTTTTTGTTTTGAAAGTTCTTTGTTGATCACTGATTATATTTCTCTGTAAGATAGTATGTGTATAAAAACTTAAAGTAAGATTTTAAAAATTTCCTTGTTCCACAAGTCTCTAGGTGCTAAATTTTTTTCCTGGATTGAGTTATCAGTAAATACTGCACAATTAGTAAAGATTTAGAAATGAATATAAAATTAATCAAAACCACATAAATACAAGTTTAGATAAATAATAATCATAAGAAGTAAAATTTGATTGGAAATGTATATTTATTGAAATGGATTTTTATTTTTACTTCCTATATTCTTGTATGAATTTGTAACAGAATTCAGCATCACTTCTATTCCTATATTTTTAAGAGATGTTAGCTCTGAAATACCTCGTTCAATATAAAAATAGGCAGGAATGGATGAAGTTTCCTTACACCACTCAGTACTTTAAACTGCTTCTGAGTTTTATGTCAAAAGTCACAATGATCTATCATCGAAAATGATTTTAATACTCTACCAGCTGACGACTGGATTAGGTCATATTTCAATCCTTGTTGAAAGCAAAATATTGGAAAGCTTTCCTCTAGTGAAAAGTTTACTTACCCAGTCATTGCTTTCTCAACACTGACACCAATACTTTAAATCATTTATTGATTCATTGGGGCCATTGATGTGCCCACTGGCTTTTACCCCCAGGACAGGTCTCTGTAGTACAAGTCAGGATGGGTAAGAGGTATGCCTTGATTTCATGAAGTAGAAAGGGTGATGTAACAGGGAGGGAGGGAAAGGAATACAGCCAGACCTCAGGCAAGTTCCAGGGGAATGAATTCTAAGTAAAGAATACCCCATGGAAAGTGAGGATCCAGAAACAGATGTCCTTAAAACTGTTCTTCCTAAGGGTGCCCAGGGGTACGCAAACCCCAGACTAAAGACCACTGATCTATATAATAAGCTTAGAATAGTGCCAGGAACATATGAAGTGTTCAGGAAGTATGAACTATGGTTTTATTATTATTGCATCTATAAATTATCCAGCATATAGTAGGTATTAAGTAAATGGAATGCAGAAAGAGTTCAGATACTATTAGGGGGTTGGACAAGACAAACCAAAAAAACCCCTCTAAAGCTGATTCTGTCATTCTGGTTTGGAGCCTGCATTGGTCACTTGCATCACAGATCACTTCAAGTGTAGGAGCTTGAAACAACAACTGTTTTATTCGCTCACAATTCTGCCGGTCAGCAAGTTGACCTGGGCTCAGCTGAGCAGTTCTTCTGGCCTCAGCTGGATCACTCACGCAGCTGCAGCCTGCTAGTGGGTCAGCTGGGGCCTGGCTCCTTCGGCGCCTCAGCTGGGATGACTCGTGTCTGTTTCATGTGGTCTCATCTTCCAGTAGGCTAGCCAGGCTTCTTCATGTGATAGCAGACGAGTTCCCTGCAATGAGAGGGAGAGAGAGAGAGAGAGAGAGAGAGAGCGCTCACAAACCTCAGAGCACAGGGCATTTTATGCTTCTGCTTGTGACCCATTGGCTAATATTTCATTGGCCAAAGCACATCATGTGGCCAAGCTCAGAGTCCGTGTGGGAGGGAGTTACACAAGGATGTGGATAGATATATTAATGTGTGTCATTGGGGCCATTGATGTATCACTCTACTACACAACTCCAGGGCCCTGTGGCTGTTTCAGCTTTACTTCTATTTGAGGTGAACTCAACGATGAGCTTAGATTGGACACTTGCTAGGATAACTGCCTATAGGTATTCTTATTTTTCCTCTGTAGCTAGAACACGGTTTTTCTGAAGGAGACCTACTATGGAGGATGTCATTGCAAAAAAAAAAAAAAAAAAAAAAAGGCTATTTTTTTCCCAGGACCTCCTCTTAGTCCTGGAAGAGCTTTGATCAGAGAATTAAAACCCATTTTATAGACAGGAGCGCCTAAGTGGAGAAAAGTTGCCCCAGGAAGGCTTTCACATGACTAAGGCAGAGCTCAGAAGTTGGGTGACTCTATAACTCTAGGTTAGAACCCAATTCAACCTGGCTTGGCAAAAAAAATGAATTTTGGGGGTTATGTAACCAGGAAGCCTGAGGTTTATGGCTTCATGCCTGGCTTGATCCAGGTATGGAACAGTATCAAGTCACTGTGGTGTCCTTGCCATGGCTCTGCTGTACTCATCCAAAGAGAAGTATAATAGCCCTGAGAGGTGGTCTGTGCCAACGTTTGGGCAATACCTGGCCACCTACATTTCCTAGGAATACCTGGAGAATATATATCTAAAGTAGCATTTATTTACCATCTTCTATCTCTTTTTCTTTTCACAGTGAGACACTATTTGGTGAAATGCCCTCAGAACAGGTAGGAATATTTTCTTCTTGTTTTCAAGTAAAACTCTTTGCTATTTTACTTTCTTTTGATGTTACCAAGAAATGGTTAAATTCATATCTTTACCTTAACGTCTGCAAATTAGTTCAAAAATTGGCCTAAAATGTGTGTTCTGCATGCACTTGCATGTTTCCAGATTTCATGTTCTGACTGTCACCCTGAGAGGGGCCAGCAAACATGTGGCTCAGGCTGGCCCAACATACATGCTGGAGGAGGCTTGACTCTTGAATGACTGTTCCCCTGTTTAGGAAGGAGCTGGCAGGTGGACTGAACCACTGTGATGCCTTCTGACCACGAACACTCCTGATCCCCTTCCACCAATGCCTGCTTGTCCTATGTCCTACTCTACAGAATGCGTCCATTAGTGATACATGTGCTAAGATGCTAGCCTTTTAGCTGATGGGACACACCTCACAGGTAACAATAGTTATGGAGTTATGGTAGATATTGCAAACTCATAGTATTTAAAAATTTGAGACTTCTGGTCCGGACAGGATGGATTAGATCAATTTCTCTCTGCTCTTCCCTGCTAGTAAGCACAACTATCAATTCTGGAAATAATATAAGAGACGGACAAAGGAGGACTCTGAAAGGTAGCAAGAAGAGAATGATGAAAGACAAAGACAAAGAGAAATATGTTAAAAGCAACCAGAGAGAAACAATGCATTACCTACAGGGAAACACAGATTTGAATGACAGTGCATTTTTCAGCTGAATCCGTGGAGGGCAGAAAGAAGCAGCCCATTTTTCAAATACTGTAAGAAAAGAAATGTCACCCACAAATTCTATATTCAGCAAAACTATCCTTTGGAATGAAGGGGATATAAAGACATTCTCAGATGAAGGGAAACGGAAAGAATTTTCAGTTTCACTCTCAGGCCTACCTTAAAAGAATGGCAAAGAAATTCTTGAAATAAAAGGAAATATCTTGATGCATTAAGAAGGAAGAAGGAAGAATTGAAAGAGCAGAAATATGGGTGCATAAGTAGACTATTCTTTTCTTCCTGAATTTAAAAAATAATATTTGATGATTGAAACAAAAAATTATAAAACTATCTGATACTCAAGAAGAGCATTATGATACATAAAAATGAGGAGGGTAACTGACCTAAATAGAAATGAGATTTCCACACTTTACTTCAAGTGATAGAACATTTTTACCAGTGGGCTGTGGTGTCACATGTGTGTATTGCAATGCTCAAAGCAATTATTAAAGGATTATGAAAAGTACATTCAAAAGCAGTATAGAGTAATAAAGATAGAATCCTAAAATACGTTCAAGTAACATAAAGAAACAGAGGGATGAGAACCGCAGAAAACAGACAGAAAGCAAATAATAAAATGGCAGACTTAATTGCTGACATACTATTTATCTTAAAGGTAAGTGGTTTAAATACATCAGATGACAGAAGCTGACAGAGTGGATTAAAAAAAAAAAATGACCTAAATGTATGCTCTTTACAAGGAACTCATTTCAAACACAGTGACATAGGAAGATTGAAATAGAAGGATGGAAAAAGATAGACCGTGCAAACATTGCCAAAAAATTCAAGAGTGGGCGTACTAATACGTGATAAAATAGACTTCAGAGCAAAGAAACTTACTAGAGATAAAGAGGGACATTAAATAATGATAAAAGGGTCAATCCACCCGGAAGACAAAGATCCTAAATGTGTACATATCAAATAGCAGGACCACAAAATGCCTAAAGCAAAAACTGAAAGAGCTGAAAGAGGAAATAGATAAGTCCACAATGATAATTGGCAACTTTGACATCCCCTCTCAGCAGTAGATAGACCAACTAGATAGAGAATTAGCAAGGATTTTGGAGATCTAAACAACACAGTCAGCCAAGAGGACCAAATTGATATGTATCAAACACTCCAACCACCAACAGCAGAACACGTGTTTTTCCATCCCCCATGCAACATTCACCGTAAGATATGGTCTGTCTTAGACCAAATCCTGGGTTATTATAAAAGAAATCCCAACAAATTTAAAATAATTAAAATCATATAAAATGTGTTCTCTGACTGCGGTGGAATTAAACCATAAAGCAGAAATAAAACAACAGCAAGAAAATCTCTAACCATGTGGAAATTAAACAACACACTTTAAAAAAAAATCCGTGGGTCAAAGAGGAAGTCTAGAAGGAAATAAAAACTACATAGGATTGACCAAAAATGAGAATAAACATAACAGAATATGTGGTATGCAGCTAAAGCTGTGCTAACGGTGACATTTATAGTATTAAACGCTTACATTAGAAGAGACGAAAGCCCTCCAATCAACATTCTGGGGTCTCACCTCAGGCAATCAGGAAAAGAGCAAAATAAACCTGAAGCAAACAGAAGGAAGGAGACAGTAAAGGGCAAAGCAGGAACTGATGAAATTGAAAGCAGCAAATGTGATAGAGAAAATCAATGAAACAGAAAGCTGTTTCTTAGGAAACCTTCCGGAAAAGATGGGTAACATGTACATAGGATCTCTCTGCTTTATTTCTTATGACTGTATGTGAATGTACAATTACCTCTGTTAAAGTTTCAATCAAAAATTGTATTTGCTATCTCTGGGGGATCCTGTTTACAGTCCCAACAGTCCCTATACTTGCCTGCTTTGTGTTCCCGCTATTGAGTTTGGGAGCCTCAGAAATCCTGTTACTCATATCAAAATGCAAAGTTATTTTATTGAGAGCTTACTGTCTCCCAGGTACTGTTCTAGGAGCTTGGGAAGCAGCAGTGAAGTAAAGAGACAGAAATCCCTGCCTTCGTGAGTGCAAATGTATGTGTATATGTCCCCAGGAGAGATGTCTGAGTATGGTTGAGTGAGGGGATTAGCAAGTCCTCTCCCCCCAAAAGCAACTATAAATCTTAACAAAATTGACAAAAGTAACCATTTTAGCACTTTGGAAAGACCAGAGGTATATATTAACCTGAGGGGCTTTTCTACTTGAAAAACTGCTGAACTGCTGAGAGGAACAGTGTTACTCTGTGGAGTTTTGGCCTTGGGCTGCTCTGATATTCTCCCCTCCCAGCTTGGCTGATGAGGAGATTCTTTTAAGGCAGGAAATGCTGGGAGGACCATCAGCCTCTCTATTGTGGTAGAAGGGGGCTCACTTGACTTGGAGCAGTATGCAAAGCCCACGTTCAGCAGTGCTGGCAGTGGAAGTGGCAGTCTTAGCGGTGTTGAGCAGGGAGGCCCAGTGGTTCTGCTAGCCTGAGGTTTGGGTCACAGCTGGGTCAAGCATATCTCTGGCTGAGACAACATGCATGTGTAGATGAGAGTGGAGGGCACCCAAAGGATAGAAAAAGATGCACCATGCAAGTAGGGACAATAAGAGAGGTGGTAGCTAAGTTAATAAGACATACTTTAAGACAAGAAAGATTACTGGAGACAAAGAAGGAAGTTTTATAATTATGAAAGATCAACATATGAGGTTAATTTAACACATTGTATGGACCAAACAGCAGAGCCTCAACATACGTGAAGCAGAAACAGAAAATTAAAAGGTGAAATTTTTCAATTATTCTAGAGTAATAGCTGGAACGTGCAATGCTCCACTCTAAATAATTGATAGAATACTGAGAGAGAAAATCAACCAGGACACAGAAGATGAAACAGTTTTACCTGACAAATAAGAATGCTCTACCCAGTGACTGCATAGTGTATTCTTTTCAAGTTTATTTGGCACATTCTCCAGGATAGGCCATATGCTAGGCCATAAAACAAATCTTTATAAAATTAGTATTTTATTTATGTAAGAAATCATATGAAGTCTGTTCTCTGACCACAACAGAATTAAATAGAGATTAGTGACAGAAGGAAATCTGGGAAATTCCTAAATGTTTTGAATTTCAAACAACATACTTTTAAATAATATGTGGGTCAAAGAAGAAATCAAAAGAAAAATTAGAAAATATTCTGAATTAAATAAAAATGAAAACACAGCATATCAAAACTTATAGGATGCAGCAAAAGTAGTGCTTAGAGAAAAATTTATGGCCTTTAAGTGCCTATATCAGACAAGAAGAAGGGTCTAAAATCAATAGAAGCTTTCACCATAAGAAACTAGAAAAAGAAGTGTAAGTGAAATCCAAGGTAAGCAGAAGAAAGGTTATAATAGAGATTAGAACAGAAATCAATGGCATGGAAAACACACACACACACACACACACACACACACACACACACACACACACAAAGAAGTATCAATGAAACCAAAAGTTGGTTCTTTGAAAAGATCAATGGACTTGACAAACCTTAAGTTAGACTGTCCGTGAAAATAAAAAAGAGAGAGAGAAAATAACCAATTACCAAAATTAAGAAAGGAAAAAGGAATCACTACAAACCCTACAAAAGTTAAAAGGTTATAATCCTGATAATCCAGGTTTATTCTAACAAATTAGACAACATAAACGAAATGGAAAAATTCCTAGAAAAACACAAATTTCCAAAACTGATTTAAAAAGAAAGCTATAGTCTGAATAAACCTATAATAAGTCCAGAAGTTAAATTGTTAGCTAAAAACTTTCCAGCCACGAGAAGCCTAGGCCCACCTTGCTTCACTGGTGAAGCATGCCAAGTATTAAAGGAAAATAAGAATACCAACCCCTCACAAAGTCCTTCCAAAAAGTTGAGAAAGTGTAGTCTTTTCAACAAATGATGCTAGGACAAAATATATAAAGAACACTTACAACTCAATAATAACATGATAAATAACACAGTTAAAAATGGATAAAGAAGACACACAGATGGCCAACAGGCACATGAAAATATGCTCAGCATCATTAATCATCAGAGAAATGCAAATTAAACCACAATGAGATATCATCTCATACCTGTCAGAATGGCTAGAATCAAAAATAACACAAATAACAAATGTTGGCAAGGATGTAGAGAGAAGGGAACCCTCATACACTGTTGGTGGGGAGGTAAGTCGGTATAGCTACTGTGGAAAACAGTGTGGAGGTTTC